ATTAAAGCAACTAAGTGTTTTATGTGAAAAACGTGATTTTAAATCATTAATGACATTATCTAACAAAGGAATAAATACAGTTAATTTATAATACTCTTCTGTATTATTGGTTGAATAATTTGCACGTTTCGTTTGTTTAATAGAATATCTTGGAATTTTCAATATTTTGTTTTTATAGCCAAATCCTCAGATAATTTATAAATTTCTTTGAAATCATATTTTAGAAACATTTTTTCGACATTCTGATAGAATACTCAAAGTGTCTTTCATTATATTGGCTGCTTCGTGTAAATCAAGACACTTTTTTTGAAAACATTTACTGAGTGGAAGAGTGTAGCTAAGCATATGAGAGAGACTACAAAGTGAAATTATAATTTCACTGTCACATAGTACTGTTGCCAGGGACTTTGCTTTTCCTGAAGTATTCTAGTCTCTCCAAGTTGTTATTTCTAATAGTGCTTCAATAATGTTGGGCATATCCTGCATAAAACTCATCACGCCTTCATGTCTTTCGACCCATCTTGTTTCACATAAACCAACCAATTGATGTCCGACGTGTTTTTTTAAAACAAAAGTTCTTTTAGCAGATGCAGAAAAAAATGAAACAACTTCTTTAATTACTCCAATTAGATTTCTAATACTTTTCACGCGTGAAGATTGTGATATAGAATTATTAGGTGAATGATTATAACAAGTACATCTATGGCATTAGGTGCAACTTTAATGATTTCACTAACAGCTCCACAAAGTTCTGACAGCATTACGCTACATCCATCAGTTCCTATTCCTATTTAAAATTTAAAATTTTATGTTTCTCCAAATTTTTTGATTCTAAATTGAACATAAAGATAAACTATTCAACAATACTTTAATAAATAAGTTTATTATAATACTTTTACCATAAGATCTTGAGTACAAACTTAAATGATATCAGGCAAATTAATATATTAGTGTATTATTTAACCCTATGTATGATTTATTATGATGATAAGTACATTTTTACCAATAATTTATACTTCAATATCATCATAAGTAAAGTATATATAATATCGATTCTTTGAGTGTCATATTAATTAAAAAATAATTAATTGTATATTATTTAAAGATTTGTTTGCATATCTAAATTTATATAAGATAATAAAATAGACTTAGATAAATTATATGACTTAATAATAATAACTTAAATGATCAAATTATAAATATATTTTGTATGTTCTACAAAATATTATAAAACTATATATTAAAAAACGTACCATTTTTAAAGATGATAGATTATGCTTTAACGTTCGTATTACAAAAACAGTTGTATAATGAAAATGCCAAACGCATTGAACGCATGTAAATCCAAAAATATAAAAACAAAGAAAAAGTACTAGTGATAACGAATTCTTATTAACGATTTCCGCCTGCATGTTACCAGTAGATGCGAATAGAAATTACCAAACTATAAATAAAATTATCTACTAAACAATTTATCTAATTAACTATACTAATATGTTATAGAATGTTTTTATAAATTAAAAACAATTTTAAAATTTATATAACATTTATGACTTATTATTTTTTCGCAAAATAATATAATTGCTGAATTTTATGCTACAATAGTAAAATTNTTTTTCGCAAAATAATATAATTGCTGAATTTTATGCTACAACAGTAAAATTGGGGGGGGGGACATCGCCCCCATGCCCCCCCCCCTGTATCCGCGCCTGCTACGCCATTGGTCGTTTAAAAACTGCTCGTGTGTGCATCCTCATATACTGAAGGAAACAATTTTAATGTTTGCACATGACAAATGTATTATAACTATTTTACTAAATAAAAAATATTTTTTAAAAATGTAGAATTAAGAATATAAAATTAATTTTCTTCTTTTAATTCATTTTAGTAGAGGGTGCGATCGGTCTGTTGTCCAGCCACTACTGATTAAACTATTTAAAAAAATACTCTACAGTTCTACATTTTATGACTTAATAGTAATTGATCCTTTTTTTTTAGATTTTAAAATAAACTTCCATAACATTAAAATTTATATTGAGGAATATGCTGAAAATTTGATAAACTTAATAAAAAAAAAACATAGTTAAAAAGTGATATCTCTTAAAATTGATTGTGCTACCAGATTAAGTAGATCAATTATTGGTGTCAATATTCAATAGTTAAAAATTTTAAATTACAAAAAAAAACTACTAGAATGACTGAACAAACTGATTGAATATGTAAAAAACTTTGTAAGTTTATGTTGAAAATTTATTAAATTTCATCTAATACTATAATATACAGGGTGATTTTTTTATCATAACCCACTCAATTACTTATACAATAATAATAATTTAAAAATTTTTTTTTATTACTATCTTTAGTTACACATTATTCTTGAATTATTAACTATGTAATACTTTTTAAGTTCATCCCTTATGCCTGGTAAGGGTGTCAACTTTGTTTTTTTAAATGGTAACACATATTTTTAATTTAATAAAATGTTTGAGTTTTTAATTCAATAGTAAATGACATTTGAATTATTAGTATAACTTTATTAGTTTATTAGATATAAACATTTAAAGCTTCAAATTTTTGAGTTAATATACATGTATAATACACAAGGGATTACAAATACAGGTTTTTTATGTTTTTTTAAATTGGTTTTTTATGATATTGCTATCACAGTCACGGATTGTTTATTATCAATTATGACTATCAATAGATATACTTTTTGTATTGTCAGTTAGTGTATTTATAAACTCACAACAATGTACCTTACTATCATTGATAATAACAATACTGTGTATCTGCTAATATCGATGTCATAAAAAATCCATTAGCTACCTGTATTTGTAAACCCTTGTGTATTATACCTATATACTAACTCAAAAATTTGAAACTTTAAATGTTCATATCTAATAAACGAATAAAGTTATATTAAAAATTCAAATGTCATTTACTATTAAATTAAAAATATGTGTTACCATTTAAAAAAACAAAGTTGAAACCCTTACCATGGTAATCTTGGAGACTTAAACGCTAAGTTATAAACTAAATTAGTATCACTAACTCATACGTATTTACATTTGTGTAAGTTTGGTTGCATCAATATCTCAAGGAGTCAGTTTTGCTTTTGCGTATAAAACTATGTCTAGTAAAGGAGATTTTCCTTTACATGCTTCGAGGGGAACTTCTATCCGGACTAGGAGTAGTGTTAAAACTTCGTTGTTAGTAAATTCTATCACTAACGAGGATCTTTTGTCTGCAATGAAATCCTTCAAATCTGACATTCTATCAGCTAATAAGAGTTTGTCTGATCATCTTGATAAACAATATAATGAACTTAGAGAGGAATTTAAAAATTTATTGAATCAAATATCTGAATTTTTTGTTTTCATGTTTTAAAAGCTTTTGAGCAAGGGTTCCAGGTTGATGTGCTTTATACAGATTTCAAAAAGGCATTTGATTCTGTTAACCTTGAAGTTCTTCTTAAAATACTTAAATTAAATGGATCTGGGGAACCTCTTTTAGTATGGTTTGACTCGTATTTAAAAGAAAGATTTCAATGGGTGAAAGTGTTTGGGACACAATCTAAACTCTTTTTAACTTCTGGGGTACCTCAAGGTGGTCACTTGTCACCGATATTATTTTCGTTATTTGTAAATAGTATAAAAAATGTATTACTAAACTGTAAATT